TATATATATATATGCGTGTATATTATATTAAGTAATAAATTAAATTAAATTAATTAAATTGAAATTAATTCATAATATAATTAGCTATTATATTATATTAAATAACAAATCTTGCTAATCATTAATGGACTATAAAGAATAAAAATGCATAAAACCTGAAAAAATAAATACTAATAAAACACAAAAAATCCGAGTTAAAAAGAATTATTGGTTTTTTTAAACTCGGATTTTTCCAAATCCTAATCACAACGCAATAATTTATAAGCGACAGCGTATCTCTATATTCTGGAATTCTCTTGCCTAAAATACTTGGGGAGCTTTCCAACGAGCGATACTATGTGACATTCAGTCATTTAATTTTTACTGAACATTGACGAACAACAAGGATGTAATGATTCATTGTATTACACTGTGTCATCTTTATCTCTTGTTGGAAAGCTCTCTTGATTTTCTCTCATCTATAATAGTCACACAGTCTGTATCGTAGATTGCAAGTTTACTATCACATCCAATCTGATGCATCAATATTAAAATTGATGTTTCAAATTGGCTGTCACAACATGAGGCCTGTTCATTTATTGAAAAATTTTCTAATGATACTCTTACCGTATCTTTTCTAATAGTAATATGCATACATTTACAGCTTATATTCACTTAAGCTTTTACTGCATATTGATTCATGATGATTATGTATCTATTAATGGTTGTGTTCAGCAGAAATCAGCGTTTCATGCTAATTAGATTATGTAATACTCAAATGGATTATATAATATTCAGGTTTAAATGAATAGAAGAAATGGTAAAAAATTTTCAAATCATAATTATGCATAAACGATTATATATTTTGTGCGTGCGTACGGGCGTGCATGCATGTATTCATATAATTCGAAAAAATGGAATAAATATTAATTCAATTTATTGTATTTATGTATACATATATTAAGTTGTCGATATATTGTTCGATAAGTTCGTTTAGTAATGCGATGCAATATCATAAGATAAGACAAATGGTATTAATTGCACAAATAATGTCGAAAAAAAAATATTGTTAAGTTATAATTAATCCAGTTTTATTGCTAAAATAAATTTTATTGATTAGCATCATATTTCAAAGTACACACGACATATTCAATTATGATAAAAAAGATGTATTCAGGAATAAATTTTATGGTGTTTCCACAGTCACTTATCCCACATAGTTGTCCAATATCTAGCATTATTTCAAAGATAGTACGGGAATTGATGCTTCGTGATGATGCATAAATGATGAACATTAAATATTAATAGACACATATCTATGATTTATTGAACAGGTTAAAAAGATAGAACATGTTCCAGTAAATGAGAATGGATTGAAATAGATTTAGATTTTCAGAAGCACGCTTCGTGAATTCATTTATCATGAACATTCATGAAAATTTTATAATAATTGCGTTGGCATAATTTTTCATAACGCAGCAGTTTTGTCAGAATAAAATTTCTAAATAATATTTGTTAAAGATTAGAAAAATTCAATTTGAGATATAAATTTTTTATAATTATTTTTAAAAATGTTTGATTACTTAAGATGTTGCTATGTTGATAATACGTATAATATTTCATGTTACAATATTTCTATATTATAATTTAGAAATAATTGTAAATTTTTATATACGCATATACAATATGGATCAATTTAATTCTTTCATGTATAATTATAATTATTGCTAAATGTTTTAAATATAATATTTTGAAATATTTTTCTCAATTATTAAACAATTTTTTTCTAAATTTAATTTTGCAAATATGTACCGCTAGGATTCGCTATTATTTTGAAATATTTATTATTTTAAAATTAATTGTGTAAAAACATATTAATATTTTGTAAAAGATATATATTTCTAATTTTCTACATCTATTTTAATTGTGCAATGTTATAGCATGAAATTTATTAAAAATATCATTTGGCTTATTCATATCGCTGTTGTATAGAATAATGTAAACTCTAATGTAATCATATTTATCTGGAAACATCAAAATGAATGACATAGTGGCATACCGATGACACAGGACAGTCTGATAAGATATAAATATGATAAACCAGGTACAGAATGCGCAAAGATTTCTTTTTAGATAGAAGATGAAACCATTAGAGAAAATGGACAGAAGACATATCAGTAAAGTTACATTTGGCCAGATAAATGAGAACACCTCAGGAATGATCCATTTGGATCTAGTCTATCTAAAGACCCCAGCTAAAGAAGAAAACGGAGCCTCCTAGATGGAGTCCTACAGGGAGAAAACCCTCACAAGGATCTGATCGAGGAGGACCTGAAGTTCTGTCTTACATTCCGCATCTCTTTTTTAAAAAGGTCTGAAGAAGGTTAATGAGGATGGGCAATCTGGACGAGTTGCTAAGCCAATTCGTTCAGATTGAATTCCTACTACCCCTAAGTACGTAGGAATCTTGGAATGCTTTTGGAAGTACCTCCCATTTGTACAAATGGAGGAGTTTTGTACAAATGAGAAGTATATAAGAACTGAACGCGAGTTCTGTTCAGTTACAGTTCCAAATTCTTGCCGAGCGATATTACTTCGATCGAAATCGTTGAACAAACAGTATATCTCGTACGAAATTCCATAAAATTAAATTAATAATTAAACAGATAACAATTAAATAATTAAAGAAATAACGTTGCACTGCAATTATAATTTAACATAAAATAATAATAACTGATAGACTATTAAGTTAAGTATTTATTTATTTCTTCTTTTCTAGATCTTGAAGCGCTTTTTCTAAGTTTTTCTAAGTTTTTCTGGTCCTACAAAGTGAGAAAAAATGGAATTTCCTGCAATGATCATTTGTTTACTTGCTCTTGCATGTGTGCGAAACACTATGTCGTATGTGAGCAGACAGACCAGACAGGTACCAACGACACCAACGGTATCGGCGGCAGCGGCGGTACCGAATACAAATTATAACAATACTCAACTTCCTTATTCCTATCCTACCTATCCGATCTATTCGAGCAACGTGAATCAAATGGGGCAACCTGCCGCCCCGGTAATGAATGTACCTCAGACTGTTACTACCACATCGCCGCCTACCAACAATACCAACTTATCGGATACTTCTAACAATAAATCTTTCCTTGGACATCTCAAGACCTATAGCCTCTATGTGTTTCAAGTGTTGATGACAGTTTTTCTCAGCATGTCCTTAATAAACTACATTTGTTTGCAATGGTCTTTCTGCGACAGCGTCCTTGGAGGAAACAGCTTTTGGAAAAATAACAAGGTAAAGCAAAATATATTTATTTTTTCTTTTTGAATATAGATCTCAAAGCATTTTCAAAATTTGAATTATCATCACCTTCTTTATCATAGCGGATAGATCCTAATAAAAGAGAACTTAATTTATAAATTATTAGGTGTTGGAATTAATTCGTAGCGTTTTACAAGTGATGGGAAGTACTTTCATTAATGTATTTTTTAATGCTCATGTGAAATAAATAACATTCTTTCATTAAAAAACGCTACGAATTAATTCCAACACCTAATAAAAAAGATGTTGATTTTGAACTGAAGACTTTTTTTCCAAATAATATTGATATTGGTTTAGTATGACATTTATTAAACAAATTTTTAATGCGATTTGCTCTAAAGATATTTATGTGTCACATTTTAAAATATTATTAAAAATATAAAATTTTTATAAATTGTTCTACTTTTATTGGTTTAAATATTATTTTAAATATGTTTTTGTTTGTCTTGATTTTTATGTAAAATCGTGTTTTGTAGTACTTATTTGCAAATTTGATGAAACATATTCTTTAAAATAACTTTTAAACAAGTAAGTGAAACCAAAATGAATTTTTTCACGAATATTTATTAATTTTATTAGTATATGTAAAAATTTGATTTAATTCTTAATATTTTTTCCTTCAAATTTGCAAATAAATATTATGAAATGCGATTTTACATGAAAATTAATATGAATAAAAAACTATGTAATTTTTAAACCAATAAAAGCTTGCGATTAAGTTTTACATAGATAATTAGCATCAACAATAGAACAATCTATGATATTTTTAACAATGCTTTAAGATGTGACGCGTATCTTAATTATAGTATATTAAATTTGAATTAATTATTTTTTTTTTATAAAAATCACTTAATAACAAAAATAATACTAGAATGTCTATGAGCAATGACTTAGAACGCTGACAGTGCGACTAAATCTAAAAGTAATAATAATAATAATAATAAGAGTATAATCAATCAATGTGTTTCATTTATGTTCCCGTAAATCTTCGATCAGAATTAATTAATTTTTATATTTTTTTTGTGCCGTATTTTATATTTCGCTAATTATACAGAGTAATTCTCAATTCTAACGCATAAATAGACACATAATGTTAATTATTTTTATGAATAATGAATGAATGTGCATGTGTGAGCTTCGATGTTTATTTAGGGAGTTTTCCAGTTAAAGAGACACAAACACAGTGTGAGATACAGGAATGTATAATGTTATTTGTTGTTTAAAAGGGTTATTTGTTGTTTCTATATTTTTGCAGCACACTGAAATTTTTTATCTATTCTAAATAATTGATAGCCATGTATTTGATACCCCTTAATTCTAGCAACGAAACATAGTTATACACTGTATGATACAGTGTCGACTTGTAGTTGAAACGTTGCTTAGTTCTTTTTACTTTACCACCATAGTGAAATAAAGGAAAAGATTTTATACACGTATATCAAAATATTAATTATCGAATGAAACTCTTATCAAAATATTACTCCTAGAAAAATAACGAAATGTAAAAATCGTGAAGTGAAAATGACGACACAATTGAACACAGTGTCGACTTGTCTCATAGATGGAAAGCACGAAATCGTACACTGTTTTATAGTGTCGTGTGTACGTTGCTAAAAAGTACCTTTTTTAATGCAAATTTATATCATGTTGTGTCGTTGTTAGAAAGTGACACACTGTGTCACTTTGTATCGCCTGTGTCTCTTGCTGGAAAACTCTTTTAAATAATTACCTGAAGACTTAATGATTTGATTGTTTGTGCAGGCAAGACGTTTGAATCGTTCGTACGCGACATCGAATTATTTGGATGATATCAGTTTGGCAGTCTTCAAAGCGGTAGACTACTATAATAACCAAGATTAGGGATTGAATAAAAATAAGTAATACGAAAACTTTTAAATACTATTTATGTATTTTTTTAATCAGTTTTATTATTATTCTTTTATTGTATTTTTTTTTGCATTTAACGTCTATTTTATTTGTTATTATTTTATATACTTTTTTTTATAATTCTGTATATAATTTTTTACAATCCTTTATACAATACTTTATACAATCTTTTTATAATGTTATGCGTACGTTTGTATTTGGATTTTTCTGTATTGCGAGGAAATTTTATACGTGTCAGATAATATTCGCATAATGATATATTTGTACACAAAACATTTTCAATATAAATGATATCAATATGAAGCATTTCTTGTCGATTTACATATCTATTTGACGGCGTCATTACGAATAAATATTTAATGTCCATAATTCCCGCATCCTGCACACGCTCACAAAGCATGATATCATTTTTAATTGTCGGGAATTTTTGTTTGTTTTAAAATCAATGCGATTGTTTCCCATATTCACTTGAACATCGTCACGCTTGATCATGTTATCGAACAATCTTGCCAAGTGATACGAAATTCTAGGTATTCCAAAGTCTTAGTAAAAATATTAACGTCATCCATAAGTCATCGTTTCTTTTCTTTAATTTTATAGTTACAAAGGAGAACATTAAGGAACAGCGCTGAAAATTAATTAGACATTTAATTAAGCAGTTAAATATCTATAATTAATATTTCATTTTATGATTTTGTCTCGATTCTTTTTTTTTAATGATTAACTAATTGTATGCTGAGAAAGACTTCGAAACATTTATATATTAATTTATTATTCTTTTTACATTTATTTGAGAATATATTTTTACTTTATCTAATTCTCGATTATCTTTCTTTAATTGTTTTTACACGTAACCAGCTTGTTTAACTAATAGCTTAAATACTCACACGTTAACACACGCTTTTTTTGCAAATATATTAAACGATGTCATTGTATTTTTTAAATATATATTTATTCGCAAATAATTTTAATTCCTTTACATTGATATTTCTCTTAGTACACAGAAATTATCTAAATGAAATTTAAAAAATAAATTCGGTTACTCTCAGCTTGATTGCGATTGCCATGGTTACAACAGGTTATTATTATTATTATTCACATATTTATAAATCTATTATTTAATTTTTCATTATTATTTATTGTTTTCAAAAATCTCCATTTTAGCAGTTCATCTTTAGTTACATGTGTAATTGTAGAATCTGAAATTTCCTTTATCGCGAGATCCTTTTCTCATTTTTACACGATTCCGCAGAAGTTTATGATAATATATACATATGTAATAATATATGTATGTATATATATATATATATATATGTGCATATGCTAGTGTATCAACAAATGTTAACAATACATTTTAACACGTGTATAAGAGAATCGTTCGCTCCTGAGTCATGTTCACTGTTTCCTCCTCCTGTTGGTGCGATTTCCCCGCACGTCTCTCTACGCTCGCGTGTTGCTGCGTGTTACCACTACTCTTTCTCGCGAATGGGCTCTATAATCCATTGGATCGTCAGATGCTGACCGGTTTTGATCTATACATTGGTCATATCGCAACCGGTCTGCTCACCGGGCGCATTATAAAGTAAAATCACGAAAATCACGTACGTTAATTCGTAAAGTTCTATCCGCAGAGGCTACAAATCCTAAGACGCAAGATTGCGTAGTGATTTATCGATCATGTGGCTCCAATTGAGTAAGTAATATATCTTCTTATTTATATTATATTAATAGATTTTAGAAACCTATTCTTTCCAATTTTTTTCCGAAATTATTAAATAACAGAAATGTTATAATAAAGACCTCTATCTTGCTATTAATTGGACAATCTTTGTCCAAATGCAGTATTTCAACTAATTAAAATAATTATACTCTTCAAATTTGTCGGGTTCAAAAAGTTAAAAATCCCTGCATGCAATTCTGCGCGCAATTGAAAAATATAAAATTTTTAAATAAGTTATGAAATTATTTTAATGTGCTGATAAAAAAATCTACATTGAAAAATTAAATTCTCTCAGACGCAAATTTTGCAGAAAAATGTGGAAGCTAAATGTAAAAGTAAAAAGTGCAATGCGTTCGAAGGTCAACATTAAGATTCTTGAAATTGTCTTTTTTATAGACTACAAAAAATTGAAGGTTTTGTTTGTATAGATGAGGTTGCTGACCGCGAAAAATGCGGTTTCCGTTCGGATAAGCATTAATGTGGTCACTATTATCGATTCATATCTAGGAATGTATGTTGAAATTGTGAATTCTACAAAACACGAATTATACGTACAATACGCTTGAAACTAAAAATTTATTATTAGGCACATATAAAATTCTTAGAAACAAATATAATATTCATTTGACAAGAGAATGAACATTGACAAGAGAATAATCATTAATGAAGAGGAATAACGTCATTGAATAATAAAGTAATTTAACATCAAAGAAAAACTTATAATTAGACTCAGCAAAAAGGATATTTAATACCTATTTTTTAAATAATAGAAATTTAACACAAATTTTACAGGGTTTTCTATTATTACACGTCTGAATGTCTATGTTTGAACATAATTCTTTTATTGGTTTAAAAGTTATTTAATTTTTTTGTTTGTTTCGATTTTTATATCATATAAAATTGTGTTTTATAATCTTTATAATATTTATTTACAATTTGATAAAAAAATAATATTAAGAATGAAAATTTTTAATAATAATAAATTTTATTAGGTGTTGGAATTAATTCGTAGCGTTTT